ACTCAACATGCCAAGACCCAAAGATAAAACTGGAGTACAGCGCATCATGGGAATGGTGAACTTCATAGGAAAATTTATTCCAAATCTTGCAGCTAGAACATCTAGCATTCGACAGCTTCTGCAAAAAGAGAATGAGTTTCAGTGGACAGAAAAGCATGACTCTGAATGGGAAAGTCTCAAAAGAGCATTGACAACTGCCCCTGTATTGACCTTCTATGATCCAGCAAAGAGCATCAAGGTGTCAACAGATGCTTCCAAGGATGGAATAGGAGCTGTTTTACTACAAGCTGAGGGTGAGCTGTGGAAACCAGTTGCTTATGCATCTAGATCTATGACAGAAGCAGAACGTCGCTACGCTCAAATCGAAAAGGAATGCCTAGGATTGGTTTTCGGACTGGAGAGGTTTCACAGTTATGTATATGGCCTACCTTCATTCACTGTAGAAACAGATCATCGTCCACTTGTTGCAATCAATAGAAAAAACTTGAATGACATGTCTCCAAGAATTCAACGGATGATGATGAAAATTCAAAGATATGACTTCAAGCTCATATATACACCAGGGAAACACCTCATCATGGCTGATGCACTGTCACGAGCACCACTTGAGGACACTGTGAGTACTATCGCAGATGATGTGGAAAACTATGTAAACATGGTCTGTGCAGCTTTGCCTGTGTCTAATGCAAAGTTCAAACAAATAGTAGCTGAGACAGCAGCAGATGCAGAGCTACAGCGTGTGATTGATCACATGGAAAATGGATGGCCAGCAGGGTCCAGTCCATTGTTTTCCCACATCAGAGGGGAATTAAGCCATGTGGATGGACTATTGTTGAAGCAAAATAGAATAGTCATTCCGCAAAGCTTACGGCAAGACATTCTCCACAGAATACATGAAGGTCATCTTGGTGTTGAAAAATGCAAAAGAAGGGCGAGAGAAACAGTTTTTTGGCCAGGAATAAACCGAGACATTGAAAGAATGATAGGAGCATGTGAAACGTGCCAAAAACACAGAAACAAGCAAACTAAAGAGCCCATGATCATTGCAGACATGCCAGTGGCACCATGGCAGAAAGTAGGGATGGATTTGTTTNCTGTTTTAACCAGTTGGAAACAACATTTAAGACTTCTGTTTAATATTCTTTTAGTCATTGGAAATATTGAACTTAATCCAGGTCCTGATAAAAATGTTTTTATGTCCACTTTTTTATATTTTATGGGATCTTATACATATGTTTTTAATAATTATCTTGACCTGGGTTTGTGCACAGGTGTATCATATAAATCCAACTCAATTACAGTCTACACAGGGATCTATATTATATCCTGAAAAGGTTAGACAACCTCCTGTTATGTCAAGTATGAACACTACAGCAGTAAGAAAGCAAAAGCGATTTTCCTGTCTAAAAAAAAATCCAGGGATGCTGAATCAACTAAGTAAAATTAGAGGCTTTAAAATCTGTCATTTAAATATGAGAAGTCTTGTACCTAAACTGGATGAATTCAAAGTAATKCTTGCTCAGACACAAGCACATGTTATGGCTATATCAGAATCATGGCTGACTCCTGCTATACCAAATTCATTTCTTTCTTTCATCCATCCATCCATCCATTTTCTTCTGCCTATCCGGGGTCGGGGCGTGGGGGCAGCAGTTTCAGAAGGGAAGCCCAGACCTCCCTCTCCCCAGCCACTTCTTCCAGCTCCTCCGGGGGAACTCCAAGGCGTTCCCAGGCCAGCRGAGAGACATAGTCCCTCCAGCGTGTCCTGGGTCTTCCTCGGGGCCTCCTCCCGGTGGGACGTGCCCAGAATACCTCACCAGGGAGGCATCCAGGAGGCATCCTTACCAGATGCCTGAGCCACCTCAAGTGGCTCCTTTCGACGTGGAGGAGCAGCGGCTCTACTCTGAGTCCCTCCCGGATGACCGAGCTTCTCACCCTATCTCTAAGGGAGAGTCCAGCTACCCCGTGGAGGAAACCCATTTCGGCCACTTGTATCCGGGACCTCYTTCTTTTGGTCATGACCCAAAGCTCATGACCATAGATGAGGGTAGGAACGTAGATCGACCAGTAAATCATAAATGTAGACCGGTTGGGCGAACTCCCATGCACCCTCCAGGACCCTGCTGAGCGTGTAGAGCTGGTCCAGAATTCCACAACCAGGATGAAAACCACACTGCTCTTCCTGAATCGGAGGTTCGACTATCCGACGGACCCTCCTCTCCAGGACCCCCGAATAGACCTTACCA